GGGGTGAGTTCCTTCTGGTCACTTCATGATTTATGCAAATTGCATAAAAAATTATATTTCTTTCTTCAAATTTGATATGAAGAAGTATGCAGACAGTCCCTAGCCCCATGAATACTCATGACCTTGCAGATGTCATATATACATGTACTTTAAGAGTAATGTTATTGCAAAAATATGTGCACGTATTGTTATTTTAAAATGCAAGGAAAGCCCCTCCAGGTTGTAATTTCTTTGTTCCACTATTCATTTGCTTATGCATTTGTAGCACGTATGTCTTAACTTCCAAATTTCCAAGAAAAATGCCTTTGCAAAGTATCTCCTTATTCCTCATATAATTAATTAACATATGAGAGAATTGTCCTCTCAGGCTTCTCAGCCGATGATGTAAGTTTTTTGCAGTATTTTTTATTTTAAAATTTTCTTTAAACTCTAGCATACCTCATTTGAGATAAAAGTGAAAGTTTCCATGGCAAGCTATGGCTTTTTGTTAATTATTTATAACTTGCAAGAACTTGATAGGGTTCAAACCTTGGCCTGTTATGTTTCTCAAAAACTTGTGCTTTATTTCAACCAATTCAAAATCTTCATGCCTTGACTTGCTATTATGGCTTTTAATTTTCTTTTACTTTAAAACAATTTTCACAGAATTTGTGCATTGGACTGTTAATCTATTACTCACTTGGCGGTAAGGTTTTAAATGTCAGATGTCGGGTTCATGTTGGACGACTAAAATTCATCTGGATAACGGAAGTCGAGGATATGTCGGGGGACATGAAAAAAATATCGGATTGCTATATCGAATGGTGTGTATGTGTAATATAATATCATAAATAAAATCTAAACATACTTAATAAATTCTATTGTCTCAACATATTAAAAAGTAAATACCTTATGATGTTTAGGCTATGAAGCACGGACACGCATAACATGAAGCCGTGTCGTGTCCGTGTCGGACACACGTGTCGAACACACGTATCCTATGTATTTTTTAGGATTTGCCTCGTGTCGGCGTGTCGGATGGCCGTGTCGGATCCGTGTCCGTGCTACATAGTGTTTAGGGTTGATGTTGGAGGAAGGAGGTGAGAAAAAAGGAGTGATGTTGGCGGTTAAGAAGAGAAGATCGCCCGATATTAACATCGAAGGAATAACTCGGAGAAGAGACTGATGAGATGTTGAAGGAGAGAGAGAAGAGGACTGACGAAAATAACTTCGTTCCTTTTTTCTGTAACTGATCGGGTTTTGTCTTTGGAAGCAATATTAAGTCAATCAGGAATTTAAACCAAAACTTGATTAGGTAAACATAACAAAAAAAATCAGCTAATTTTTCAAACTGAAAAATTAGCCGACATAGCCGACGTGCCCCCAAATATATCCTGCCGACATATGATATGTCCCCCGATATATCCAATATAAACCTTGAAAACACAATACGCATTGAAAATCTCTATATCGTGTCGGTTGGCCTCTAAACTCACCATGCCGGCCGACATGTCCGACAAGACGGCTGACATTTAAAACACTGCTTGACAGTTGTCTCTTGTCATTCTCATTAGGAATGTATGGAGCAGATATGGATTGCATATAGGTGTTGCCATATCCTTAATTAATTTTCTTATTATCTAGCTCCTTTTTAACACGATCAAAATATGTTAGTTATTACTTGAGATGCACCTAATAGCATTCTACTTTTGCTGTTGGAATGCTTGTCTAGCATGATCATTACTTTTGTGCGCTTAAGTTCACCCAAAGGCTTAAGCTGATGGTTTTGTGCTAACAATTGTACACCGATCGTACTTAATAAGAACAATAGTATGTTGGCAGTGATGAAACAGATAAAAGGTGTTTCATGATTTGGTTGGCCAAATTGTACGTGCTCATCTTCTGGCTGTATTACTGTCATCTTTTGTCAGTGCTTGGGACAATTTTACCTAAAAGAAAAGTATTTATTAAAGAAAAAAGATATATAAGGTGAGGCATTACTGATATGTGCTGGTTTTTACTATGATTATTGTACCTCTTAAGTTTATATGAAGAGTGGAATTATTGAAGAGTGAAGCTAGTTTTGTCATGTTGCTGTTCTGTTTTAGTTATGTTGGAGATTTTCTTTTCTGTAGAACTTTCTGGAGGAGAAGATCGTTGAAGAACACAAATTATCTGGTAGAATTGAGGATCTTGAGATCCAATTAAACAAAGAGCAAGAAGATTGTAAAAGGTTTTCTTTTTCTTTTTTACATTTCTCTTTTTCATTCTTTACTGACATGTATGAGTATGTCGGATTTTTCTTGGTATAATTATGCCTTCTTGGATTAGCTCCATGACATTTCTTGTTATCATTTAATTGGCTCTTTCCAGGATCACCTCCAGAATTAAACAGTTTGTCAGAGCTTATGGGCGTTACTTGAAGGCTCAGGAGGAGTTAACACGGCAAGTTTTTTTTACTATTTAATTTATTTTATCAGAAATATATTCCTGATGAAGAAACTGTTTATTTTGAATTGTTCCTTATATAACAATGCTAAAAATGAGCAGATCACAAACTCGCCTTCAACGGTTGGGTGATCAGCTTGGTTCAGACATTTCAAAGTCTGGTGCCAATGAAGAAGATTTAAGTGTTAACATTCCAAGTGATGAGGATCCAAACTGGGATAACCGAAGAAGCCCAAGGAATGGATCGAATGAGGAAACTAAACGTGATGCTTTGTCTGTGAAGAAGAGACCGTATATATTATCTGCAACCAGTGGAGAAACAAGAGTAGGCAAGTATTTGTGAAATTTTAACCCAAGCACTTTCTCGCGATGCTGAGAATTCCCTATAGTATTTAACAATACATTTGATTTTCATGTTCCTTACCTGTGATTCAGATACCTTCTCTCTAATGCACTTGTACATTATTGACATTTGTATCGTACCACATTAAATGCATATTTTGTCAAAGCACGTTGTATAGTTCTATAGTTGTATTATGATATAATTGACTCAAATAGTATATTTCCTTGAGGTTATTTTAATAATATCATTGCTTTTATTCTTATACATGAATTTTCATTTCCATTTGTTTTTAAGTCTAGCTCTTAAATGTATTACTATGGTACTTTATTTCATTGATATCATCAGCATTTCATTTATACTACAAGGGATTACGATGATGTTATCCTTATTGCTACAGGAAATTCACAGAAGCGCGGAAGACTTTCTGGTTCGGTTAGTAGATCAGAAAAGATTATTGGGTCCGAGGGACCTGGCCACCTATCAGAAAATTATAACAAAGAAAAAGAATCAAAGAAGATGATTGAGAAGAATAAAGAAGTTAACAAGTCAATTTCAGATGATTACAAGCGTGTAAAAAATCATAAAAGCGGCAATGTGACTCTAGACAAGGTCTTTTGAAGATTTTATATTTTAGTATTCAGTTATAGATTTTACTTTTCATATGGCATCCTTGAGAAGTTATTATAATCAGCTCTGGTGCTTCCTTGTTTTTGCAGATAGCAGTTAAAGGTTCTGAGGTTAGACGCATAAGACCTTCAACTAGTATTGCCGCAAATGCAGTAGATGAGCTTTTTGAAGCAAATGAAATGGAGGACAGATCTGAGGCCATGGAAGTTACTGCAGTTTATGACGATAACAAAACCGACACATCTTATATGCCACTACCCCCACCACCTCCACGTATCGATCTGAATGCATACAAACAGGTGTGATTATGGCACTTCCTGTTGGTTTGTAGAGTTCATAATAATATCTTTTTTGTAATCATTTCTTCTGGAGTTTGTTTCATGTGCCTATTCACTTGCTAGGATCTTTTATTTTATTTATTTATTTATTTTACGCATATTAGACATTTTGTAAATGGCATAAAAAATCATATATTGGATGTTTCATGTTAGCCGGTTATGCAATTATCTATGGGATCTTCATCGTGTCCTATGCTTTAATATGAGTGTCATGATCGTTGTGTTGAATCTTGGTATCTTTCATCTTTGAAACATATCATTTGACGACAGATACCCAATGAAAACATAAGAAGTGCTTGATATTAATCTCCTATAAGATTATGACGTTGTAATTTTACATTTAGATGTTCTGCCACCCAATTTTCTTATTCTAAGAGTTTGGGTTCAAAATCTGCACAGACAAAGGGAAGAAAGTAAATTTCCCTCAGCATTTGATCACGCTGTCAATGTCAAGTATACCTGGACATAATTAGTTCATGGATTTTAATAATTAAACAAATTGTTCCTATCAGTTAAACTAGAAACTAGTAATATATTGAAAATTTGAAATAGTCAAATGTGAAGACTTCCACAGCTGTAGCAGTAAAAGATCCTCTCACGTCTCTAACATTACTGGTATGTACTGTGATGCCCAAACCCCACTCATATTACTTTATCCTTACAAGGCATCATTATTTGCAGTAAGATGTATTCTTGCCATGTCACTGTTATTAGATGTCTGTGATGCTTGTGATGATGTTTGGGCTTAATTAGGCTTCTGGTTTAGGTTCAATGCATGCAATTTGATACTGACATTCACTTTGTTTATTTTTCAGTATGAAGATGATGATGAGGATGTGGATGTGGAAAAAGTTGAGAGTGAGATGTTAGATTTTGATCTCAACGGCGAGGTAGAAATCGAGTAAGCTGCTAAGAGTGCCATGTATGTTGCCAGTATATGTATCTTAGGCCTGGCAAATTTTTGCTTGGTTCATAAATTATCTACTGGCAAACAATTCGGAGCAGCTAATGAGAAATCGGGTCAAATTTGTTAGCTATCGGATGTATAGTATTGCTTTCATGCACTTGGTTTTGTTTGGCGAAAATGTAGGTTATTATCAATTTTGATGTGAATGTAATGTAGGTTACACAATGTTATTGTGTAACTAGTATGAACTTACTTGTTAGCAGTTGGAAGGCTCAATAGCTAGTGAAGTAGAGTTTCTATCAAGTGAGATGGAATTGTTCTTATTAGCCTCACCCTTTCTGTTCGGCCACCAGAGTATGAGTGACTTGACATCCACAGCCATATCGGACGCGAGTAGGGCGTGCCTTATCTCTCTGATATGCTTTGAGATGTGTACAGACGTGTGATAAAATGCTGGTTTTTCGATGTCTTGATGTGTACCGAGAAGAGGTAGTCTTCTCGGTCCGCCTTTAAGTTGCGAATGTTTGTATTATTGTTCTTTAAAGATTCAAACTATACATGAAAACAATCTGAAGGGAATCCTTCAGCCCGCACTACGCAATTTGATGATGTTGAGGTTCTAGTATGTCCCATTGCCAACCGCTCCTCTTGCCTGATCAAGTCGCGGGCTTTGGCACGAGGCTGCCATAAGCTTTGACCAAGAAGCATCGGATGCTTTTTTTGTTAAATTTCCTTGCGAATTACTCCTCCTGGTCTGTTTCCTTGCAAAATGTCACAATCATTTTCAAATGTTAGGGTGTTGACCAGGCATTTACCTTTTGTTTTCTTTTTATCGATACGGCGTTTGATTCGTCGTACCTGCTAGGAATCCGGAGCAGATGTGATAAAAAACGACCTTTGGTCTAGTTCGACCCCTTCGCACTGTATAATACATAATTATCATAAATCTTTCAGGTTAATTGTAAGCAAAACATGGTAATTATCAGTTACCAGAAGGGCTTAAGAGGCATATTTAAAAATCTCTAACCCATGTTTGATCTGTCTTAAGTTTGGAGGGCATCTTAATGAAGTATTAAAGAATGTTGAGCAGTGGTACACTAAGTCACAACTTGTCACGTATTTTCAATGCAGTAGGTGAGCGAGCATTTTCACATGATGCAATCATAGAGACCCATTTTAGTTTGTCTTGACGCACGTATTGGTCTACGGTCATTGGCGTATCGTTCGAGAGATATTATCACGGACAAATTTTCAAAACCGACCCTTTGGGGTTTTTATTTGCAAAAAACGACCCATTTCAAACTTATTTATAAAAACCGACCCCAGGGGCTGAAAACAGGTCGGTTTTTGAAAAAAAATTTCCCAAACTTCACGGGAGTTGAACTCCCGTGAAGTTTTGTTATGAGAAAAACTTCACGGGAGTTCAACTCCCGTGAAGTTTGGGAAAAAAATTTTCAAAAACCGACCTGTTTTCAGCCCCTGGGGTCGGTTTTTGTAAATATTTTCAAAACCGGTCGTTTTTTGCAAATAAAAACCCCAAGGGGTCGGTTTTGAAAATTTGTCCATATTATCACCCCCTCTCTGTCATCTGTTGCATCACCGTGGAATTCTTTCTGTGCAATAATATGCTAATCCCCATCTTTACAGTTTTATTTTCATTTGCCTTAAGGACTTCGTTGGGAAGTATTCTTACCTCTGGAGAAGTAAAGCAAGGCGGCCAGTGATTAGGACTTGGCTCAAAGGGTTGAGAACTGATCCGTATCCATGGCATGCATATTCTCAGTTTCATTACAACACTTGTGATACTCATCTAGATCGGACGAATTTTCAAAACCAACCCATTTGATAAACTAATTGCAAAAAACGACCCGTTTCAGATTTATTTAGAGAAACCGACCTGCAGGTTTCAGCACTGTCGCTGAAACCAGGTCGGTTTTTCTAAAAAACTTTACGAAACTTCACGGGAGTTCAACTCCCGTGAAGTTTTTTCTCATAACAAAACTTCACGGGGGTTGAACTCCCGTGAAGTTTCGGAAACTTTTTTTCAAAAACCGACCTGGTTTCAGCGCTGAGGCTGAAACCAGGTTGTTTTTTGCAAATAAAACTGAAATGAGTCTTTTTTTGGGAATAGTTTATCAAATGGGTTGGTTTTGAAACTAATATGCTAATCCAAAAAAAATTGTAAATTACTACTACATATTGACTCCCAACTTTTTACTCGACTCTTTTCTAAATTTGTCTTTCAATATAAGATTAGACTCGCACATAACTCCCGTGTACTTTTCTTTTGTGGACCAGAGAGGAGATGGTGAGATAAACCTAGATCCCGCTAGCTGTTGGATAGTGACAATAGAGATTTAGCCAACTAATAAATGGGAAAACTTTATGTCCTTTTCAAGAAAAAAAGAAAAACTTGAGAGAAAAAGTAAAGCTAAATTCCCTTGTAGATTTCATATAAAAAGTTAGAAGATTAGCACTAATCATGTTGACAATTGGTTGTAATCTCGCTTCGATCTAAACCGACCATATCAATGATGTTTAGCCTTTACTCTAATAAATAATCAATCAACAACAGTGTCATTATAATCAAAACACAGACTAATTAGGGGTGGTCATTATCGGATTCGGATCCTCTCCACTACAAAAAAAATAGTGGAGGGACCACTACATAATCACAGCCATTGATTATCTAGTTGATGGTTATGATTTTTTTCTTTTAGTGCAAATTAGGAATGAGTGCAATACACGGGGTATGGTAAGTGTTAGATTTAGATTGTATCATAACCGCCTACTAAATAATCAACGCTTGAGATTAAAAGTAGTGGTCTCTCCACTACTTTTTTGTAGTGGAGAGGATCCAAATCCGGTCATTATCTGTACCTATGGTTATTATATTATAATCATGAATAAAAATCACAAAAGAAAAAAAAAAAAACTTGAACACGTTTCTAGCTTGTTTTAACGATGGACAGAGTCAGTCAACACAAGCCGCCACACAAACCCGCGTAATAAAAATTCAAAAGCTCACCAACTTCATGGATTTTTTTAGCCCACAAAAAGCTCACCGCATTCCTCCCACGTTCTCCATCCTCCGTAACCGAATTATCATTATCATCGTCATGAGACTTGGTCAACATTCAAATAACCTAACAAATTCTCCCTCTATATAAATTACAAGTGCACGCACTTGCTACCTTCATATCAATCTATCTTCCTCCTCCTCCTCCTCTGCATCCCCCTTCCATTGAGATATGGCAGCATTGAAAGCTTTTATCGCTGTTATGGCGATGGCAGCTCACAACGGCCGCCACCAACATCACCGTTGGCGCACCAGGCGGCAGTTGGGATCTCCAGACTAAACTTAATACCTGGGCTAAGAGCCAGACCTTCACCCAGGGGGATAATCTGAGTAAGTTTTTCATCTACTTTCTGAGCTTCGGATTCTCTGCATCATTGATATTGCGCGGATCATAGCAACGCAAAAGAGGAAGAGATGTTATTTTAGTTAAAATAACATATATGTTTCATGAATTCTCTGCAACCAATAATGTAGAAGATTAGCTAGTTGATCAGTTATGATATGCAAATTCTTAAATTTACGCCCCGTTTCGTTGCCGTTACAGTTTTTAAGTACGATCCGTCCCAGCACGACGTGCTGGAGGTGAGCAAGGCGAACTATGACTCCTGCTCGACAAGCAATCCGATAGCGAAACACACCAGCGGAGATGATGTGATCCCTCTGAACACTACAACGAAGCGATATTTTATCTGCGGTACTATCGGACACTGTGGAGGGGGGATGAAGGTCGAGATCGACACGGTTGCAGCAGCGTCGGGCCCGTCC